GACAAGTTTATTTCTTTTGCTGTTTGTACAGATTTCTAAAGTCTGTTGCATTCTTCTCACATGGACTAACACAGCCCCACCAAAGTCTACAAAACTCTGGAACTGCTTCTTATAATACATTCTTATCGAATTCAGAAAATCTGATTCTATAAGAGTTCACATGCAGGACAATAAGCCCCTTTTGTTGTAATGCCTTTATTATTTTTCACTGTAGTCTCTCAGATTTTAAGCACTGCCATCTGCAAATTTTGTCTATTGTCATTGATATTAACCATCCACCCAATCATAATCCAGCTTCCAAATTTCTCTCTGAAACAAACCAAAGCTTATAATGAATCTGTTCTGATTCCCTGGCACACCCATGCAAGAAGACAGTGTCAGACCTGAGGAGTCTCTTCAAAGCCTTTGGTCTGGGCTAGCAACTCCCTTCAGGCTGCTCTGAGTCACTGGTTCCCATTGTCTCTCGCACTTCAGATGTGAGGTTTTATAACTTTCTGGGAAGTACATTTCTTGAGCTGCCCAGCATAGCATTTAAACTGGAGTTCACTTGACTCAGGCAGAAAAGCTGTAAGGGAATTCAGAACAGCAGAAGAGCTGGAAAACACCGAAAGGCTGATGAAAAGTCATTCCTACCACATGCACAGCATTTCACAGTTTACAAAAAGATTCTGCACACAATATCTCATTTCACCTCAATAGGCCAATGAGATCAGCATTTAACCCTCCTATTAGAATAAAGAAGCTGAGGTTTAGTTTACTGAAACATCTCACCTGAGGACACACACACTTGTAATTCAAAGGAGAAACAAGAATTGAACAAGTTCTTCAGACAGCACAGCATAGCCGGCTCTGTCCAGGTATCATCTCTTTCAGACAGCAGCGTGTTATTCTAGACACCAGGGATGGTTATATTTAACTTTACTTAATCAAAGCAGGAGTAAATAATGTGTGTCTCATTGCAAATTAGCGTGTCTCTTTTCCTAACGTATTTCTTTTTTTCTTTATCAGTACATGTTTGTAGTATAAATGTTTACATTCTTTGTGCAGCATTGATACACGTACATAACTCATCTTAATTCCTTTTTTCATTCCCTTTCCTCCCCACTATCTCTTGATCCCCTTCCTATTTGATAAAGACCTAGCTCCCTCCTTCCTATTATTTATTTTTTATTTTACTCTTATTTATAATTATATAAGATAAACTAACCAATATTTAAGCTTATGTGTCTGATTTATTTCACTTAACAATATGGCCTTAAGGTGCATCTATTTTCCTATAAATGACTCAAGTTTATCTTTCTGGGTGGCAGAGTAGTACTCTATTTTGTGTGAATACTACATTTTCTTTATCTATTCATCTGTTGATGGACATATAGGCTGCTGCCAAGATTTAGCTATTATGAATTTGCTGCTATGAATAGGGGTATGCAGATATCTCTGTAATGTGATGCCTTTAACTCTTTGGGGAAGATACCAAGGAGAATAGCTGGGTAAGATGGAATTTCTAGTTTTGATTTTCTGAGGAATACTAAGGCATGAAGCCTTATTATTCCAGTCACTACTGTGGAGTGAACCCAAGACCTTCATACTGAACTATATCCCCTTTTCTTTCCTTCTTTCTCTTTTAAAACAGGGTTTCTCTAAGTCACCCAGGCTGGGCTCAAACTTTCAATCTTCCTGCCTCAGCTTTCCAGAGTGCTGAGATTTACAGGTGTGTGTCACCTCCCCTGGCACCCCTCATGGCCTTTCAAACATGCTTAGGTGAAACAATTTCAATATTCACCCACAGTGAATATAATAAGAGGAATAAAGTAAAATTTCAACCAAATATCCATTGTGTATCTCCAATGGGATACAAAACAACAACAACAACAAAAATAAAACCAACATTTGATGCCTACTCTCAAAAAGTTTCTATTGCTTGAACAGAAAATCTGCAGGTTGCCAAGCTTCAGGGATTTGCAGGGTAACAGAACAAGAGCTGTCACCATTCCCAAGGACACAAGCTACATTCAAGACAAGGGGAGGACCACTGAGATTTTGTGGGAGGGAGAAACATGGACATGCTCTGGACAGTGACTCCTAGACGTCCCCGAAAACAAGTCACCAGCATGGACTGCTAAAAATACAGACTCCAGCACTTTCATCCCAGCCTCCTGACTCAAAATTTCCAGGACAGAGGCCCAGGAAACCCTGTCTTTAACCTTTTTTCCAGGTGATCCTTCTCCTAGGGAAGGCTGGGAAATGGAGGAGCGTGAGTAAGCACTGGAGACAAAGATGGTTCCGCTGATGGGAGGGGTAGGGGCAAGAAAATGTGGTGAGTGAGAACCAAGGAGGGAAGACTAAATTAAGACAAATACCAAAGGAAGACTTAATTCCAAAAGAAGAGTGGGAATATCAAGAAGTCAAAAGGCTGCAATGCAGATGGAGGGAGAGAAGGGTCCAGGAAAGAGAATTCTGGCTCACTGGGGCTGGAGAGGATGCACATATGGACACTGGGCAGGGCCTAACTGCAGGGGTATTGCTTGCTGGGGCAGGACCCACTTCAACCTGCCAACCTGTCCTGGCCATCACAGCCAGTCCTGTCTTTTTGTCTTCAACCAAGGTATCAGAGTGACATACGAACATAGTGATTCTGTTCAATAACTAGACTCTTTTCTCTCTTTCAACCAGCTACTCTGGGAGATTCCAGGAGAAATGTGTCCCAGAGGAAGACTTTAATGACCACGGCCAAGATAGAAAGGCCCTTGGTCTGGGGGAAACCTGGGTTGAAAAATCCAATTTCACAAGAACCTCACAGCACAAAATCATCTCTTGGGTCCCTGGTTTCTTTTTCAACTAAATGACACTGTTATATACTAGAGTACTTACATAGCTTTGAATATGTACCCAGCATTGCTTTGTGTATTTTTACCTGTTTTAACCCAGTTCATTCTCACAGCAACCATGTGAGGAAGGTTCTGTTGTTGCCACAGCTTTACAAATGAGGAAAGTAAGGCACAGAGAGGGCAGAGCACCTGCTTGATCAGTAGTTGACAGAGCTGAGATCTGCATCTAAGCCGTCTGGCTCCTGAGCCTGCGCTCTTAGCCACTGTCCCTCACCCTAAGAGCAAAAGTGACCCATCAAGGCAAAAAGATCAAGTGTGGATATGTATATGAGGGAGGATCTATGTCAATAGGGTGAGAGATTTGTTGGTGAAAAGCAACAGTGGACGCTAAGAGGGAAGATGAGTCTGGGCTTCAGTGGGTTAGGAAGTCTTCATGAAGGAGGTCCACTCACCCTGACGAAGGAAGCCCAGAGGGGTGAGAAAGATCAAGTGTGGATGGAAATTAGGAAAAGGGGGATTTGGGGTGAAAATGCACAGCACCAGCAGGTTCATTCATCCAGCCCTGCGGGTGTTTCCTGAGCACCTGGTGTGTGCAGTCCCTTCAGACTCAGGAGACCCTGTACTGAGTAATGGAGGCCTCCACTTTTTTTTTCTTTGTACCAGGGATCAAACGCAGGACCTTGCACTTAAGAGGCAGGCACATTGCCGCTGAGCTAAATCCCCAGCCCAGGAAGTCTCCACTTTTGCAGAGCTTATGATGTGGCTGGGAGATGGGCCGAAAAGAAAGTCAACAGGTGAATAAAATGATTTAGAAAGCGATGGAATGAAGAAAGGAAGGAGCTAAAGGGTTACAGCTGATCTTCCTTTTTTATTGAGGAAGGCGTGGCTGATGAGGGAAGATGTTAGGGGAGATGGGAAGGGATTGGGTGTCATGAATCACTGGAAAGCCAGAGTGGCGCAGCACACTAGGCAGAGAGGTGAGAGCCAGGCAGGGCTCCCTCTGGAGGTCCCTGGACCACTGAGAGTTTGGATTTTATTCTATGTCCAGTGGGAGATGCTGCAGGACTTTAAGCAGGAAAAAGACATAATCCAATTTGTGTTTTATGAAAAGCCTGGTTGAGAAGTAACAGCCTGCAGGGATGCACTGGGAGAGGAGGTGTGACTGTCATCCAGGCAGCGTAGTTTATGGTATGGCCCAGGGCTGGCCAACGAGGTGGAGAACAGAAGAATGCTTTAGAGATAAAATAGGCAGGTGCTCATAACTTCGTCCCCACTACTATCATAGAATATGTATACATGGCAGTGGCATTGAGATCTCTAGTGTCTGATTTCCCAAGCATAAATCCAAAGAAAGAGGGTAAGAAAGGCCACACACTCCCACAGCCCATACCAGTGGGAAGGACAGATGGGAACAAAGAGATATTCTGTCTTTCTGGAAGCAGTGGTCCCCAAGATGCACTCCAGGTACTCCCAACTCTTCAGGGTGAATTCGAGAGCCAAATTCTCTTAGGCGTTTCTTCATGAACCTGAACTTCAGGCGGGGATCCAAACAAGAACAATGCATGTTCTGTGGCCAGCTGAGCATAATCCCCACACAGGATGCTCGCAGACAGACAGCCTAGGTGACTGAAGATTACCTCCGTGAGAGATTTGTTGGTGAACACTGCAACAGTGGACTCTGTAAGGGAAATGAATCTGGGCTACAGTGGGCTAGGAAGTCTTAGTGAAGGAGGTAAAGGAGGTCACCTGATAGAAAAAAACTCAGACGACTGAGGAAGACCAAGTGGGGACGTGGCCTTTTAAGGAAGACCATGAGTATCAAACAGGCTCACAGAGCTGGGGAGAGGAGATGCTGGTGGGACAACATAGCCACAACCAGCAAGCACAGAGAAGAGGGGAGAGGAGGGAGGACAAGTTAGGGAATCGTTGTCTGTGGCCATGGAATCACATCCAGGAGCAGGTTCTGTTGGACCTATATTCTTAGCACTGTATGGCCTTTGTAGTAGATTTTGTTCTGATAACTAAAACCATGAGAGTCCTAGTAAATTAGTCTGCTAGCTTCCTACTCTTACACTTCTGTGTATTTATTTGGTACATGATGTATTTGGTACACAATGCTCAAGACTAGAACTTCTCAAACTTTAACATGCACATCAGTCAGTCCGTGTCTGGTTAAAATGGAGATTCAGGTTCCAGAAGTCTAAGGTAGGGCCTGAGATTCTGAATTTTTCTCTGATGATGCTGGTGCAGTTGGTCCTTGAACCCCACTTGCAGTAGGGAGTCTCTGGCCCAAATGTTCTTTCCATGTGTTCTCCTTCACTCCACTTTGGCTTTAAAATGAAATGAGTTCTTTCATTATTTAAGTAGCTACTATACATAAGGCAATGGGTTAAGTGCTGAGACAGAAGAGAGAGAAAACAAATTAATAAGATATAATATTAGCTTTAAGAAATGACAGGAACTCAGCTGTGATCCCAGCACTCTGGGAGGAGGAGGTAAAAATAAATCTAGGATCATAAAATGGAGCCAAGCCTGGGTAAGTTAGGTCTCCAAGTGACTTGGGTCACCCTGTCACTTGGGAGACCCTGTGTCAAAATAAAAAATAAAAAGCGACTTGGATATACCTCAGTGCAAAGGCCCTGGGTTCAATCCCCAGTACTGGGCGGGGGGGGACAGTCTGGATGGAGTGGGAAAGAGATAGATATTAACATACAGTGCTAAGGCCAACCTCTGCCAGGCCACGTACTATAATGGAATTAGATACAGTGTCCCTCTTAATTTTCACTGTAACATGAAATAAGAAGATCTTGATTTCCAGAGAAGGAAAACTAGACTAGGAAAAATTAAGTAGATTTACAAGTTCACATATTCACTGAAAAATTGGATTTTGATTTAAACTTGGTTATGTCTTGCTCTAAAATTCAAACTCCTTCCATCAAGCTATGCTGAGGACATAGATATCCATCTAAATATCCGAAGCACTAGCTGCTGTGTCATGTGTGCAAGATAAGAGTTCAGAGTGTGCTGGAGGAGTTCAGGGAGACTCGGAGAGGCAGTGAGCTCACTACAGACCCACTGTAGAAGTTTGGAACTACAGTACTTTTACTAAATTTGCCTTGTTTACCAGAAAACAGCAGCAGCAAGGACTTCATGTTGAAAATCACTTTTGAATGTTGCACCAAAGAAACAGGTTTCCTTGCCTGTTCATGAACTCTCCTTTTATGGCCTGCAGTTCTTCAGTCCACAGAGCCATTTGCCCAGCCAGGAGATGCTGGCATCTCTGGCTTGTGGCTCCAGACTCTAGCAGACATTTTGTCTGCAAAAGCCCAGAATGGGGGCTGCTTGTCGTGGGAGCAATCTTGTATTACATGTCACCCTCCATGTGTGGCAAGAGCAGAGCACAACCTGGAAACCCAGGATGGGAGTAGATCCATGGCCCTGCAGGATGCAGCTGAACATCTGCTCGTGTGGGTGCCTGCTCGCCTCACAGAGAGGGCACCTCAGTCCTAGTCTTGCGCACCAGCCCTCTTAGCCACCCAGCTGGCTCTCTCCTCCCTCCTCCTGCCAGCTACTGCCTGCTTTGACCACTAACCAGGAGCAGAAGCCCCTGCGGCAGCGTGTCTGAGTTTCACAAATGACTCCACTTTCTCTGCCACTGAGTCACTGTTATTGAGCTCAGTAGGGAAGACCAAAAGCTGTGACAGTGATCCAGTCTCCATCCAGACCGCCTCTCCCTGCAATGCCACATGAGGGGCTCTACCTGAGGCTCCAGTGTGCGTGAGTGGTGGCAAAATATTCCATTTCACATTTGGAACAGAAAGAACAAAGAGAACCGAGGTAGTCTGTCATTAAACTCCAAAATACCTGGGAGGCAGGCCTTCCCTGCAACTTCTCAGCAGGCTTTGGTCACACTCTGTGGCACACTCCCTGCCCTCTATTTCCTGCGGAGCACACAGTAAACATTGATACTCATGCATTAGGGAGAGGGCCTCCTCCACCTGCACACCCAGAGAAGCATTTCCCAAAGGCACAGCGCAACTTCATCTCTAGACCTGTCCCAAGCCCTAAGTGCATTCATTTCTGGGGGACAGAAACTATACACAGACACAAAGGATAGTGTGTAAGTGGGGCTTCCTACATTCACAGTCACCCTTGTCCCAGGCACAAGGAGATTTTTTGTCGTTAAGCATTTATGAGAGGGACCTGAAGGCACAGGATTTCTTTGCCAAACATCGTAGAGATGTTTCTGGAAAAAATGCAATTCCATTTCTTTCCACCAGTTGCTGACTAAGGGACAGCATTCAGTGTCCAGAGATGACACTTTAATACAAATTGAGCCACTGCCATAATGAAATGAACTGGGTTTTAGGGGTGATTTGTTTAAAAGCCACACCATAAATCAGCTGTCAGTTTTTCTTTCTTCCAGGTCTGGCAGGCTCACCTTTACACTGAATTAATAGCATCTGAAACTTGACCTCCCAGCCCCAGAGCCTGCTGGAAACAACATGTGTTCAACGACTTCCAGTCAAAGCAGCAAGAACTTAAATCGTTCCACATTTTTAATAAATGAGCCAGGAATCCATGGGATGACTCCCATTCACCTGGGTGCTCAACATATGATCAAATGAAGAGGACCGAGTTGAGTTTGCAACGATCAGATTTGAGAGAACATTTACTGACATCGGCAGGTCCAAGCCCAGACACAAGTAATTCATGCTCTTAAGTGCAACCAGAGCTGGTCTCAGCCCAAAGGAAAGCCCAGAAACATTGGCTGCCAACAACAGCTCATCTGGGTAGGGGGTGAGGTGGGGATACATGGAAGCAAAGAAAGGAGGGAGAGAAGGTGCACAGGCCTGCTTGCCAGTGAGGGTAGAGGGACCCATGCTTTCTGTGAAGAGCTGAGTATCTGGGATTCCTTCCAGGTTCTTGCTTCTCTGATTCTAAAAAAAGAAATCTGATTGTTAAAAAAAAAAAAGTAATTTTGGAGTTCATTGTTACTGGGCCTAGGAGTTCATGCTGTAAGTAGGCCTCAGTGAGAAGTGCCAGGCCCTTTGCTAACCACTGGAGACATGCTGATAATGAAAATCAGCTCCTTTTCAAGGAGCTACCCTCTCTGGTGAGACACAAACATGAAAATCGATTTGACTCCTTAATATGATGAATAGCTACAGGCCTGTGCTAAGGTTGGGGGTGCATAGAGAGCAAGATGTCTGGCCCATTTCCTGAGATGCTTACAGTCTAGCAGGGGCAATGAATACAACAGCAGAAAGTGTGATGGCACCTAGAGAAGGTGTCACAGAAGCTCACAGGAGGACCACCCGGACTCGGGAGTGTGGGAACACCTTCCCCAGAAAGGGCAAGTCCAGTCCGTCTGACCCAGAGCATGAGCAGCAGTTCCTGCAGGTGCGAATGAAGGAAACCAGGGACAGAGGAGCGGCCCGCCATGCTTCTGCAGGAGGATAAGGACATGTGAAAGTGGAAAGCAAGAGAGGGTGTGGCACCGGTGAGAAACTACGGGGAGCACAGTAAGTGCAGAGAGCAAATCCAGGGGAGGCAGAGAAGAGGCACAGCTGCCAGCCAGCTGCAGGACCACCCTCCTCACGTAAGAGGAGCATGAACAGAGGCATGAACAGGGTTCAGAGTGTGTACAGAGAAGGGAGCAATGCAATTTGCGGAGGGTGGCTGGAGAAAGCTTTGCAGGAAAAATTAAAATTAAAAACCTCTTAAAGAAGCGCAAGGACCCGAGTTCAATCCCCGGTACCAAAAAAAAAAAAAAAAAAAAAAAACCTCTTAAAGGATAAGCAGGCTTTTACCAGGAAGGAGAATACCATCCAAGGAGAGAAAACAGTATCAGCAAAAGCACTCTAGCACTTTGAAGATCAACCCTATTCTCTCTCCAAACCCAAGTGGGCTCCAAGATGAACAACACATGCTGTACCAAATTCTGTAGGGTCAAGTCTCAAGGTTATGAAGCCTCATGCTCCAGAAAAGATGGAGGGAACAGTTACTTCTATAGAACTAAGGAGCCCTACTCCTAAAGACAGCCTCTATTCCCCAAATCAAAAGCATACCCCAATCAATTGGAAACCTTTTGGGGAACCAAGGTGAAGCAAGAAACAGTGTGGACACCAGCACAGATAACTCTGTAACACAAAGATGGGAGCAAAAAGCAGCTTTTGATGAGGCCGGTGGCTCATCGAGAGACTCCTGTCAGTCTTGAGAGCCTCAAATAGAAGTTTGCACTTCCTTATGTACCTCTTTTTACATCTCTGAGGCTTAATTCCATTGGAGTTTCCCTGGGAATATAGCAAGCAGGATTTACACAAAGCAGAGCAGTGGAGGGGTACAGCAAAGAGTTCTGGCAGGACTTTCTGAGTCCAATCCATTATGCTCCTTTGGTGACAGATTACAGAAGTTGTCATGGCTACTCAGGTGCATTCTACAAAGCCCATAGTTACCTAATTAACTTATAGTTGCCTAATAACATAGTTAACTCATAGTTGCCCAATTCCTTATGGAAGGGTGGTCTCCTCTCTCAAGAGAATTGTCACGCTTTGCAGAGGCTCTTGTGAATAAATATTACCTCATTAGTTATATAGAAATACCACCTGAACAAGGATTCTCAGAAATTATGCCAATTTAATAAGCACTCCTTATGTATCATATTCAAGGCACTGTGCAGTTAATGCCCCAGTAGCACCTTCTTATATAATCCTCCCATCACCCCTTCCCCCACGAAGGGCAAGCATTCTCATTATTTTTCAGATGAGAAAATTGAAGTTAATGTCTCAGGACATTGGTGAATGGTAGCTGAGGAAGGTCCAGGACCCTCCAGGCACCACTGGGCCCTGCCGTTCCCCTAAATGTGTAGCCACTCCTCCCATGAAGCCATGGAGAAAAATAACATAGACACCAGGTTATGTCACAAATATGTATATATCCATCATTTTGTGTGGTTTACCCGAAGGTAAAGCCTTTTTACTTTCTCAGACAATGCCTATTAACTCCCCTCAACTTACTAAAGTTAAAGTCATCTACTGAGTAAGGCCACCCATGTTGCCTGAAGATCTCTTCATACATATCGTCATGTGTAATCCCCAACATTCCCAAATTCTAGCTTAGGGAAGTCAAGGATTGGAGCTGTTAATTTGTCTAAGATCTCACTGTTTCTAAAGTGGTTAAGGAGGGGCTCACTCAGTTTTCGTCTGACCTCAAGATCTAAATTTTTCCATATGTCACACATATCATGGCCCAGCCAAAGGGTATCCTGCATGGTTCCAGTCAGTAACACCTCAGAAGCAGCAACAGAGAGCTAAGAAGCCACTGTGCAAGGCCTCTCACAATGAGAAAATGTACTTTACTTTATGAAGATAATGACATGCCCATTCTGTCAAACGCAGTTTCTTCAGAGGAAAACAAAACACCAAATACTAACAGCTATCCATGCCAAGAGAGAAAAAGCGAACATCTGTGGATGAATACAACCCTTGCTCTTCCATCAGATTTCTACTTAAACTTTTCACTCTGCAATGTCATTTTTGGCAACTCTTAGGCTGTGGATTCTTTGCAGGACTGTATAGATAAAGTGTGGGGGTGGGTGCACCCCAGGGGCCTGGAATAGAATGGTAAGATAGGTTACTTGGGGAAGGGAGGCCAGGGCACTGAGAAAGGGAAACCTGTGGGTGTAATGTCCCTGTACTTCAAGCCCAACTTCATGAGGACACTGGATTGGATGATCCCCAAGACCCCATTCAATTCAGAAGCAGGGATTGTGGTCCGAGGGCCCTGCTCTCCCCACATTCCTGACAGGGCAGCTTCAGTGGGAGCAGCCCATGAAACCAAGACCCTCATGATAAACCTCACAAACTTATAGCCTGATCCAAGACGACCCTGCAGTCAGCCGCAAGCCCTGGTCACCTGACCCAGAGGACACGGAAATCTCTATTTTCATTTTTGGCACCCACGCACTCTCACCTACATCTTGTCCCTTCCTACTACAACCAGTCTGAGCCGGTTGGGCTTACCAGGAAGTGCATAGAAGATGAGACTGCTCCCAAGAAGGCAGAGAATTTATCTTGGGATTGGCATGAGAAGTGCAGGTCGCTGGGAGCAGCAGGTTCCAGGGTGAGTCAGCATCATCTCTTACAAGCTGCGTGATCTCAGGCAAGTGGTTTAACCTCTTTGAGCCCAAGTTTCCTGGCATGTAGAGCAATGATGGTGATAATATGACCTGATGATAAGAGACCTAACTCATAGGTTCATGATGATCATCAAATTACATGCAAAGCACAAAGGCTCAAAATGAAGTGACTGTTGTTGCCTGGACAGTGTCCCGGAGTTGGGTGCAGGGTTAGCTGCCACTGTATATCAGAAATTCAGTACAGACATTCAGCAAGCTATATGAACAGTCCCTGCTTGCTACCCACATAATGGAAAGAGGATTTACTCTCCTGGGGTGGCAGGAAATAGTAAGTGGGTATATAGAAGAAAATCCAGCTGCTTGGGCCAGACTAGGGTACTAGGGAAGCTACCAGTCACCACCCAGAAGATTGAGCCCTCTGGGTAAGGGCAGGAAGTCTGAAGAGGTGTCTCTGATGGAACCAACTTCCACTTAACACAGGTAGAAAGAGTTACCATGAGCCCACTGGAGCTCCTAGAGAGCAGGGTCCTTTCTCATGCACTACTGTGTCCCTGATCCCAGCATGGAGCCAGCACAATTGCACATCAATTAAAAATGTGTTGAGCGGATGAGTAATTAGAATGGGGAGGCTGATGGAGCAGAAATTCCAGTGAGAAAACTAAGTAGGAGGCTGAGAATCTAATATAGCCAGATTGACCTCCAGACCGGGGATGTCTCGGAGGCTGGCGTAACCTGGAGAACCAAAGATGACACTTGAAACACCCAGACCTCTGAAGGGGTCATTCTGAGTCACCTGTCCTCCAAACCCAGGATGTGTCTGAGGGGGAGCTGAGGAATCCCAAGCGTGAATCAGAGGGTTACCTGTGCCACCGCTTCTGAGTCACTGGCCAGCCCTCTTGGCCTGCCTCAGGGTCTGAGGGGCAAGTGTTCTCCTGTGTTTACATCTGCGCCCACAGGCAGCAGACACCACCAACTGAGATGACTCAAGAGCCCTCTCACCTCTCATGTGTTATTCAGCTTTGTCTGCCACTGTGCTGCCGCTGGAGGCTCACTGCTCACCTGCAGTCCCCCAGGGGAAATGCCTTCCCGCAGAGAGAAAGCAGCCTCTTCCGGGGTGCCAGGGCCAGGAGACTGCTGACTCCCCAGGTCCTGTGAGCCAGCAACAGCAGCTCACTGAGATGAAGCCTGACAAAGCAGGGCCTGGTGCCCCAACCTAGCCCTACCAGAACTCTCTCCCCACCTGCAAAAGCCTCCCTTCACCTTTCCCCTTGCCATTCCCCTGGTCTGTGGCAGTTCCTAGGAGGTAACTGCAGAAAAGGGAGCTCCCCCTTGGCTACTGCCATTCATTATTAGAAAGCTCCTGAAGGCCCTAAGGCCTTCCTGGTTCCCCTCCTCTACCCACTTCTAAAAGAATTTCTAGTCAATCATTCTTCCTCACTGAAATCATTCCTCATATTATTACCAGATTAACCTTCCTCAAATGACGCTTCTTGCTCAAATGTTCCATCTCATTCCAAATTCAGTCCCTGTTAATGTTTTTAATTCCCCCAACAAAATGTCTCAGCCTTAGCAAGTCCAGTTTGCTGCCAGCCACACTTAACCCCCTAAGAGCAAGTCTGTAAAGGAATGGAGTGAAGGAGGGAAAAAAGCAACTTATAACATCAGAAAGGTTCTATCCTTCTTTCAGCTGATTATTGATGATCTAAAAATGGTCTTCAGGGCCAGGGATTTAGCTCAGTGGTGCCACCGCCTGCCTCGCAAGTGCAAGGTCCTGAGTTCGATCCCCGGTACCAAAAAAAATTTAAAAATAAAATAAAAATGATCTTCAAAGGGCTTGTTTAAAATTATATCCATAACTTGCAAATAGAAAGCCTATTTTCAATAATAATCACCCCCCATAGATTCTATCTAAAGATCTCCAAAGCCCCTCAAATAAGCCTTAATTTAGTGCTGGTTTCAGGCAGGGCCTTACCCAAACACAACCCTACTATTCAAAGCAAAGTAACCAGGAGAGTTCTCTGTAACAGGCGGCCTTTGTGTGTGCCCTCAAACATAAGGTTGCTTCCTTGGAATCAGTGGATAAATCCTCACTTGTGCTTGTGCATTACTGTAATGCATTTAAACTTTACAAGCACCATTCAAGGTGTGCATTATCTTTGTCAGTGGGATGGTCATGGTTCTGTGGGTATAGCTCACCCCACATGGTCCACAGTGGAGCCAGTTTTGGAAGTCAGAGTGCTGCCTCCTAAGCACATACACCTTTCACTGTAGCCAGCAGGGCAGGGGGAGGCTCTATTTTTAAGAGGGAGCCTTCACTTGCGCATCTTAGTTACCTCACCTGGACACCTGCTTATGAACTTTCAGTCTGTCCTGAGCATGCTTCTCCTTATATGGAGAAGTCATGATCTAGCAAATGCTTTTGAAGCAAGCCAAACTATTCAACCAATTTTAATGAGCATTTATGATGGGCCAGGATTTCTGCTCCATTTTATGATGAGATCTCCAAAATTGGGTAGACCGGCCCGCATAGGAAGAACAAGCTTGCAACATCAGACAGTCTGGAAACCCAGACCATCAGGAGGAAATGGGGCAGGGCAAGGTGGAGCAGGAGCAGAATATGTGCATGGTACAAAGGTCTGCAACCACAAGTGCTTGTGAAAGGCAGAGGTAACAGGTGCATTCACCTAGAAATTGGATTTAATTCTCCCTTAGAAACTTAGTGCTTCATTATTTTTCCTTTAGTTGGAATTTAGGGGCTTTTTAGTTAATCATTGCCTCAGAGCACAAATGACCCCCCCAAACTAATTGTTTTACTCTAGACAAATAAGCTTTCAGCCTGGTGAGAATTCTTTCCCTGCTCCTTCCCCCATGTGTGGTCCTATAAGAAAAGGCAAGTGGGAGGAGGCACGGTAAGAAAAAGAGAGAATAATGAACCTTCTCAGCAGATGCTTTTATAACAGCAGTTAGAATAGTGAGCATTTATTGAGCATCTACTATAGGCCAACCACTAAGCTAGTGCTTCACAAATGTTATCTCACACAGTTCTCACAAGTGGCTTAAAATGTGACCATCATCATCACACTTCCATGGGGGAAAAAACGGGTTCCAGCTCACACCACTAGCAAGTGGCAAAGCCACTGAGTTCAGGACTTGGGCTCCTAATCCCCAATTATACT